CGGGGGCGGGGCCTTTGGCGGGGGCGGGGCCTAGAGGGCAGGGCCTAAAGTGGGCGGGGCGGGGCCAGCAGGTGAGGCTGGCTTGGAGCGTGGCAAAGGCCGCGGTCCCAGGCACTGGGAGAAACCCGCAGGGCGGTAGGTGGGCGCAGGGCACCGGCGGGGCGAGAGCCCGGAGCCGAGCCGAGCCAGGCGGGCCCACCCAGCGGGGTCCGGGCGTTTTGTCGGCTAGCTCGCCGCCTCGACCTCACACGGGCGGGGCCCGCGGGCAAGGGTGGACGGAGAAGGGCGAAAATCTGCTGCGTCGTTGTGACGGGGCCCGGGAGAGCTTCCTGTCGTGAGAGGGAGGGCTTAAAAATAGGGGTGTTGGGCCGGGTGCTGGTGGCTCACGCCTGTAATCCTAGCTACTCAGGAGGCTGAGATCTGAGGATCGCGGTTCAAAGCCAGCCCGGGCAGGAGAGACCGGGAGACTCCTATCTCCAATAAACCAGCAGAAAACCGGAAGTGGCGCTGTAGCTCAAGTGGTAGAGCACTCGCCTTGAGCTGAAGAGCTGAGGGACAGCGCCCAGGCCCAGAGTTCAAGCCCCACGACCGACAAAAAAAAAAAAAAAATAGGGATGTTGGGGTGTCACCAGGAATAAGGTCGTCGGCTAGGAAGGAACCGGACAAGGCAAAGTCGGCTTCTGCTAACTCCGCCCCCTCCACCCGGGCCCCGCCCCTCCCTCCATTCACCCAGGCCCCGCCCCCTCCACACAGGCCCCGCCCCTCCGTCCACCCCAGCCCCGCCCGCCTGTCCGCAAAGGTGTGGCCTCGCCCGCCGGCAGTGAGGGAACGCGAGCGTCCTACCGGACGTGCTCACGTGCCCGGAAGAGGAGCCGTGTGAGTGGAGTGCAGCCGCCAGGGCCAGGCCTCCAGGCCGACGCCGAACCGTCTCCGACACCACCGGAGGCCGGCCCCCGCACGCATGCGTGAGCACGGAAGCCCGCGCATGAGTGGCGCGCGCGAGGGGCCTCCCTGAGGTCTCAAACGCGTCACCCGGAGGTCACCGGGCCGCATCTCCCCGGTGGTGGTGGGTGGTGCATCTCCCGATCGTGGACAAGGAAAGCGTCAGACCCTACACCGCCCTGCCCCGCTCCTGCGGGTGGGTGTTACCCGTGTGTAACCGGGAGTCTCAGCCCCCGTGGACGCGGGCCGTGGTGCGCGGTTGGCCCGGTGGCCTCCCTTCCCGGCCGGCTCCAGGCCCTTCCGTGTAGGCCATACACAGTCGGCCTCACCTGCAGACGGCACCCACTGCGGCAGCCACAGCCACACCAGCTGGCAGGGCCTTCACCCCTTACCGACTACTTTGGCAGCTGCCGTAGATCTTAGCCCCTGGACCACACCGAAGTCCCCACCTCACCCCTAGGTTCGCAAGCAGCTTCTCCTGCGTGAGAAAGGGCTTGGCCGGTCCCTGGCAATAAGCCTTTCCTTGTTCTATGTGCCTGGATGTCTGCATGGTTTGCTGGCAGGGCCTAATAGGTAAACAACAAAGTTCAGCATTAAGGGGGGGAAAGGCAAAATGTCCAGTCTCCCAGGGAACTTTTCTCTGAGGAAACACAAGACTGTTGGTTCATTTCGGGGAGTCAGAAATTTATATTTAAAATGGGTGGTATGTCCACCATTCCAGCACTGGAGACTGAGGTATGAGGATCAAAAGTTCCAGGACAGCCTGGGCTGCATAGCCAAAACAAAAACAAGTCAATTTTTTTGTATGGCACCACACATCCGTTCTCTTACTCCCCAACCTTCCTGTTGGCCCATTGCTCCCTTCCCATGGCTTAGCATCCCCCCCACACACACACAGCTTGGCATACATACTCCCTTCCTAGGCAACACGAGGCCCATGTAGTAAGAGCAGTAAATAATCAGCCTCCGACCCCTTTTCCTTGGGATGGCACTGCTCTGGGGCAGTCACCACCATAGAAGGCTGCAAGAGCCCCTTAGAGTGACCTTCAGATCTGGGCAGCTGCAGGGTCCATCAATCCTAGTCCACTATGACAAAGCCACTGGCCCTCACGTCCACACCAAGATCTCTGCCTCCTAGGCCTGTCTAAACCTCCTAGGTAACACAGACCACCTCAGACAATAACCAGCACTTCTCACTTCTCTCTTGTGAGAAGGGGTGTCACCAGTCCCGTTACTGGCAATAAACCTTTGTTCTTTGTACCTGGATGTCTGTGTGATTTTCTGTCAAAGTCTAATATATTTTAACACTTCTCTATCCCTACTACTCACAGGTCAACTGTTTCCCAGAACTGCCAAGTTTGCTCCCAGCCCCAGGGACATAGGTCTGCAGTCTGGCAGAGTGCCCCCAATGAAGTGAAGAGTTTACATGTAGGGAGAGGAGAGGAAGAGGGGCCTGGTGGATGTGGAGCTGATTCTGTGCTGGTGTGTGCTACAGTGCTCTCAGTACCAGGAGGCACCAGCTTGGGGCAGCAGCCTAGGACCCCCTCAGACAACCCAGGGACTGTCCCAGGCAAGCAGGATACCTCCCTCCTGCAGGCACAAACTCACCCCTCTGATGGCACAGCCCTTGCTAAATCTGAGGCCTGCTCTCCACAAAACTGGCCTGATCCCAGCACCTTTTCACTCAGTCTAAAATCTCAAACTGAAGCAGGATAACTTAAGGAAACTGAGGCCTGGTAAAGGCAACTCATAAGTACGATATTTAGAAACATAGAAGTGCTATCTTTGCTTCAAAGAGACAACAGGATGTGTTCGTTCCTGACAGTTGCATTCCTTACCCCAAGAATTAACACCTGACTGACAGGTGGTATGCCTTCCTGAGAAAAATGCTTCCCCAAACTTAAGCCACCTGACCCAAAAGGCAGAGAGCGTGACCCCTCCTTGTCTCAAGGATAGAGATCTGTTGCATGACAGGATGCATTCTTACCTGCAAACTCAGAAAGCAACACCAGTGTGCTTAGAGCAGACAAAGCCAAGACCCCTGCCTTTACCCTATAAATACCCCAACCGCTCAAAGAGCCGACGTCTCTCTCGGGGTCTGGGTCTCTCTGCATGCTTGCGATCCTGTGCGTGTGTCTCTGTCCCCAGGAGAGCACCCACACTCTGCTGGAGCGAGCCCCTGCCCTTCAGTCCGTCTGCTTGTTGACTTGGGCAATAAAGCTCTGCCGGGTGTTCTTACCATTGTGACTAGTCTGCATGGCAGCCAAGGACCCTAGGTGAAGAGTTCCTCCATTTAAAGGGCAGCTTCACTAACCCTCACTGTAAAACCGAATTCGGAAATCCTTACCCAAAAGACCACCGGAGACCATCACCAATGTATAAGCAAAGGAGTCTTTATTGCAAGCTCGAGCTTGGTCCCCCCGCGTACATGGCAGCAGCCCATGACGCTGAGAGGCCCCGAGCCCAGGGTTAATGCACTTTTTATACACTTTTAGGGAAGGCAGGGACTTTGTATACATCATAGCATCTTACAACAAACTATTACACATAGCGGGAAACTCTTAATACACTTCTATAGTACGATTGGCAGGAACAGGTTGTTGGTTAGATCAGAGGGCTGAGGTACTTTAAACTGGTTGGCTGGCACCACAGGGAGTGCCAAGGAGATACCTGCTGACTGCGGGGTCACCCTGCCCGCAGCACGCCTGCCTGCGGCCTAGTGCCCCGGAATTGCTGCTTCTGTTCATTCCCAGGCCGGCTCATGGTCAGCTGCACAACTCATACCTCGGAAGACGACCGCTAGCTCAAGATGGAGTCACCCAGGCCTCAGGCTCCTCACTCACCCCGGTCCGCGGACAAGGCTGTAAGGAAAGGACCGGCCGCCTGGAGGAAGGTCAGCCGCGCCTGCGCGGCCGGACCTCCCCTCCCGCCCCGCCTCCGTGGTGAAGTGTGGCGTCATCCGTCTGCGCCGTTCCCCCTCCCCTCAGTAGTGAAGTGCTGGCGTCATCCGTTGGCCCCGCCTCCGTAGTGAATGTGATGTCATCCGTGCGCGCCGACCCGTCGACGCTCTCCCTACGGCAACCCGCTAACGCCCGCTCTCCGGACTAGGGAAGAGCCCGGTCTCGCGAGACCGTGACGCGCGCGGCGTCGCGGAGCCCCGCCCCGCTCCCGGCTGGG